TTCCTGCAAGACAAGAACACACTGAGCATGAAGTCCACATCCACGGGTCTGGGGGTGGTGGAAAGCCATCCTATGTCACTATCTGCCTGGGCTGCTTTAAGCAGTTATATCTGGGGCTGGGGAGATGGCACAGTGGGTAAGAGTAAATGCTGCACGAAGATTAGGACCTGAGTTCAAATCCCCAGCAGCAGAGTAAAATTCAGGCATGGCCATGTCCCTGTAACCCCAGTGGTGGAGAAAGGAGGGTGTCTGGGGCTTGCTGGGCACCAGTCCGCTGAAAGACCATGAGCTCTAGGTTCAGTGAGAGACCCTGTCTCAAGGGACTAAGATGGAGAGCCATAAGATGGGACACTTGACATCCTCCTTTGCCCTCTCAGTGCAAGAGCACATGCATTCTCACCAACACAGACATGTGAACACACACCATAACACACCCCTGCACACAAAAATCAATAAAATTATATATCTATATATAAATTATAGCTATGCATGTGTGACATGCAGAGGCCACGAAACTAAAGGGGGTACAATCTGAATGGGGGGATAGAAAAGGCAATTGCCTATATGTGATGAAAACAGAGGGACATTCTTGGGGGGAGGAAAAAAATAAGCCAGAGTGGGGCAGGGGCTTGCGGACAGACAGTAGGGGCGCTGGTGAAGGAGAGCAAGGTATGATAACATCCACTGCTTTGTATACTAAGAGTAATTCATAAAAAGAGAAAATGTTGCCAATTAAGAAAAAATTCCATCAAGAGCTAGGGTTGTCGTTGGAACTTACTAAGCAGGCAGGGCTCTGGAGTCCATACCCAACACTGCACAGAAAAAAAAATGTTATAGACACATATATGTACACATTTTCTACATTAGCTTGTAGCTCATAAAATTCAAAAACTAGGGGATCTGGAGAGATGGCTCAGTGGTTAGCAGCACTTTCTGCTCTTGCAGAGAACCCAGGCTCAGTTCCTGGCTCCCCTAGCACAGCTAAAACCATCTCTAACTCCAAGTACGGGAGTTCTGGTGCCTTCTTCAGGTCTGCTAGGGCACCAGGCACACACGTGATACAGACATACATATAAGGAAAACACTCAAGACACATAATATAAAAATAAATAAATCTTCAAAGAAGAAGAAAGAGAAAAACAGGTTTGTGTGTGTGTGTGTGCGTGTGTGTGTGTGTGTGTGTGTGTGCGCGTGTGCGCGCGTGCGCGAGCACACACACGCGCACAGGCCAGAGGTCAACATCAGGTGTCCCCTTCAAGTGATCTCCCCTCATTTCCATAGTCTCTCACTGAACCTGGACCTTACCAATTCAGCCAGACTGGTAGGCCAATAAGAGCCAGGGATCTGCCTGTCTCCACCTCCCCAAGGCTACAGTACACATCACCATACCTGGCTTATTGTCTGGGTGCTGGGCATCTGAACTCAGATCCTTAAACCTGTGTCACAAGCACCCTAACATTTGAGCCATCTCTTCAGCCCAAGGAGACTTAACCAATTGCCAAGGACAATTTGCCCACACAACACGAGGCACTCAGAGAACCCCACATATATACTGAGTCACTAGAAATTTGATGGGTGATAATGTTCTGTATGCTGTGAATGTGTTGCTCTGATTGGATGATAAATAAAACACTGATTTGCCAGTAGCCAGGCAGGAAGTATAGGCAGGATAAACAAACAGACAAGGAGAATTCTGGGAAGTGAAAGGCTGAGTCAGGAAATGCCAGCCCTCCGTCCAGGGAGCAGCATGTAATGGCAGACAGGTAAAGCCATGGAACACATGGCAACATATATCTTAACAGAGATGGGCTGAGTTTAAATGTAAGAGCTAGTCAGTGGTAGGCAGAGCTAATGGCCAAGTAGTTTAATTAATATAAGCTTCTGAGTGATTATTTTATAAGCGGCTGCGGAGGTCCAAAGGGCCTGGGCAGGACAAGAGAAAATATCTGCTACAGAAGCTGGTGGGACTTTCTTGATCTACGCCCCAGACTCTTCACAATAAGCATGAGATATCTGTTCTAAGGGACATCTCACCTGTCCAAGCAGAGGGACTGCCCTGGGGGACTGTGGGAATGGAGACAAGGAACCATCTCAAAGGTAGAGAGCTGATGCACACAGTGTTGGAATCCTGAACAAACCCTAAAGACCTGCATGTTGACGGCTGAGTGTCTTGGCCTGTGGTGCTGTTGGGAAGTAGGGCGCCCTTCTAGAGTTTGAGGCAATTGATATTCAATTAGGTCTCTGGAACCATGCCCTTGGAAGGAACATCCACCTCGGTCCCATCTTGACATCATTGGTTGCTATGAAGTAAGCAGACTCCTCTACTACCTATTACTACCACAAAACACCAGCAATAGGGTAAGTGCCCAAGGACTGAAGCCTCCCAAGCCATATGCCAAAATAAACCTTTCTTTCTGATAAATGGATTGTCTCGGGTATTTTGTTACAACAACAGACAGCTGACAAACACAGCCTTCAGGGCAAGAAGGATCAATTGTTTCCTTCTCAATCTTAGATGTGTTAATTAAAATAATAACCATGTGAATGAATCATAGCTTTTCCTAACCCTAAACTGAAAATCCTTGCTAAATACT